TGAGCGTGTTCTTCCTTTTTGGTTTTCTGATTCCAGATCTTTGCACATTTTGTTGTAATCCTAACAGTAGTCATTCTCTTTCTAAGTAGTAGGCGACCAAGGGAATGAGCTTCTGGAGAAGCTGAATCAGGATCCTCAGCCTGGCCTAGGATATGGCTGGGAGAACAGGGCGCTCAGCCAGTGCTGGATAAGTGCAGAGTGGGTGCTCAGAACCAGCTGGCTGAGTACAGAAGTCTAACATACAAACTCTAGCATAGACTCACAGCATCGCATGAATGTGAGATGGAGATGATCAGATGTATTAATCACTGGTTTGGAAAGGAATTAAAGTATTTCCATAATATAATACGTTTCTTTTCTAAACCAGATGTGCCCTTGTTGTTTCATGAGGAAGTAATTAAGTGCATTTGATTAAAACATTCATAAGTGCTATCATTTATTCAAGGCTACTACGAGCTTGCTCTCTTTATTGGTACTTTACATATGTCGCGCCTACTACTCTGTTAAGTGCCCTTGTTATCTTCATTTTAGAGATGAGGAAACTGAGGATCAGAGAGATTAAGTACTTTGCCCAAGGTTAGTCAGCTTCTGAGTGACAGAGGTGAGAATCAGGTCCATCGGACTGAAAAACTAATGCCTTTCTGTCATCCCACACTGCTTCTGGTGCTGTATTCAGATACCATTCAGCTCAGCATCTGAGCCAGCACATCTATACCTTTCTTCCTCTCAGCTGTTCCTGTGCCCAGCATCTCTCCTCTCTCCTCACTGCTTTCTCCCTGCACACTGAGCCCTCCTCTTCATTTGCTCATAGTAATCTTTTGACTATTGCCTTTGTATTTTTATCCTGAAACTTTAAGGTTTTTGTCAATGTCAGTAATAATTGGACATTATTTTATATGGGTACTCACATTTGTATTAGTAAATATAAGTTTACCTATTTTATTGAGGTCAAATTATATATAATATGATTTTATTTTCTTTATGCAGTCTTTTGCTCCAAGATTTTTTTTGAGTTTCTGTTTACATTTAAAATGTATAATTTTTTTCCTCCTACTAAAAATATAAATGTAGCAATGTAGTGGAAAGAAAGTTGGTTAGGTAATTTTTATTTTCTTTTATTAAAGGTTGCTAAATAATAGGATACCTATTTCAATTTTTATATGAAATACAAGATTGAAATACTTCAATAACGTCTTTTTAGAGCAGTTTAAGAGGTTTCTTACAGACTTGGAGTCATTTATTTTCTGCCTCTCCTAGTATTTCAGCAGGATTAAGTTTTTTGAATCCATGGATCAAGTTTTAATTTTCCTGTTCCTTCCTTATACTGACATATGCTTTGGCAGAACAAAAAAGAGACCTAAACATGTCAGCATGATTTTTGTTCAATGAATTAAAAACCATAAAAGTAACAAGATCTGATCCAAATCCCTAAACTCCTGACATGGTGGTTTTGTCCTTTTCAGCCCCAAGATTCATATTACTGACTTTGAAAAGCTTTTTGCCTGGAAGCAGCAGTAATGGCAACAGTGCATGATTTATTTGAGAGAGATTACAAGGAGTAGGCAGTAAGCATGGAATTATACATGGAAAGAATACAGACCAGAAAGATCTGGGTTTGAATCCCAGGACTGCCACTCATACCTGTGAGCAAGTCACTGAACATATATGAGTCGCAATTTTCTCATTGGAAAATGGGGGTATTAGAATCTAGTTTTAGAGTCCTGGTATGATGCTGTAGAACAAACACTGGACCGCAAAGTCACTTTGAACCTCAAGGTTGGTGGTTCAAACCCACCAGCCACTCCTTGGAAGTCCTGTACAGGGTCGCTATGAGTCAGAAGTGACTTGACAGCACTTAACAACAACAACAGAATCTAGTTTGAAGAGTTGCTATGAGGATCCATGAGGTAGCATGCTTAAAGTGCCTGCTTTACATAAAAACAAAACAAAAACAAACACCCATGGATATCAAGTCCATTTTGACTCATGGAGAGCCTGTGTTCCAGAGTAGAACTGCCTTTAGGGGTCTTGGTTATAATTGTTCTTCTGTAAAGATCACCAGGCCTTTTTTTTTGGTGCCATTGTTGTTGTTCAGTGCCATCAAGTCAGTTCCTGTTCATAGTGAACCAGTATAAGGTTTCTGAGGAGCGACTAGTGAGTTTGTACCACCGACCTTGTGGTTTAAACTGACCTTGCAGTCCTACACTTACCCAAAGCACCGCACCAGGACTCCTTGGTACCACTGGATGGGCTCAAACTGCTAGCCTTTGGGTTAACAGTCAAAAGCACCACCCAGTGACCTTACTTACTTTATATAAACCACTACCTTCGAGTCACTTCCGACTCACAGTGACTCTATGTAAGGTTTCCGAGGCTGTAAATCATCGGGAGCAGAAAGCCTCTTCTTTCTCCCCCAGAGTGCCTGTTAGGTTTGATTTGCTGACCTTGCAGTTAGCAGTTCAGTGCTTATCCTATAGCACCACCAGGGCTCTCTGCCTTATATAGAGGGGTTGATAATTGTATAAATTAATTTCTATTTTGAGTGGATCTTCGGTAACTGAATACAGAAAGATTTATATATAACACTCCTGTCCACTTTATCTTCAGAGCTTATCCTTTAAAAAAAAAAAAAAATTCTATTGGGGAGAAATATTAGATAGATGCCACCAAATGTTTAACACCACATTGAAAATTTACCCAAAACACGGGACTATCCATAGACAACAAGAACCAAGGATATTTGAGGTGCTGGAAGCACATACTAGTGATTCCCACTTCAGGACCCAAGGGCCAGAGGAAATTTGTCACACTAAGATCAATGGTATTGTATATGATACTGGACTTCTTTGGGCTTCATTTCTTCTGTAAACTGGGCTTAAGACCCTCCATGACAGGGCTTTCACTGTCTGTTCTCATAGTCTCTTTTTTGTTATCTGTGCTCCGATCAGTTCTTCAAATGAAACGTGCTGTCTTCATACCTTACACCTTTGTACAAGTGCTTTCCTTTGCCTAGAAACCACCCACCACCACCCCCTATTGACAACTTGTCAACTGAAGAATGACAACTCAAATTCATTCTTCAGATGCTTATTTGGTATTATTAGTCAGGATAGGGCAGGCTCTGTTGCAACAGCAAATAACTTCAAAATCTCAGTGGTCTGTAATAGTTTATTTCTTACTCATGTTCTGTGATGGGACTATTCATCATAGTCATTCTAGGACCCAAGCTAATAGAAGCCCCCACCTTAACTGGGACTGAGACCATGGGAAGCAAATGTAGTGGAGCCCCCACTGACTTTAGAGCTGCCCTGATGTGACACCCATCATTCATTTCTGTTCATATTTTACAGACACAATCAACTGCAAAGGGGGTAGGAAAGCACATCCCTGCTATGTGCCTGCAAGAATAAGAGCCAGAACACTAGTGAGCAGACGTAATGCCTGCCTCGTTTAGATGCCATTTCTCTAGGAAGCCTTCCCTTATTACCCTCTCCCTAAACTCAGAATCGAGGTTTTTGCTTCCGTGTGGTGGTGGAAACTTCCTCAGTTTCCTTGCCACAGCACCTTACACATTCTAATGTAACTGTCTGTTTACTTATCACTCTCTAAGAGCAAAGCAAAAGTGTTTCGTATTCATTGGAGTACCCTCAGTACCCAACGCTGGTTTTGCTCTGTAGTGAGTACTCATTGTGTAAATGATGAAGAAAGGAAGTCAGGGCAACTCTGCTAGGCTACTTAGATAAGCTGTTGTGATGGAATGTACAACAGAAATTGTAATAACTGTCTCACAGGGTTGTTGTAAGGAGCTACACACCAGATGCTATGTAAATACCTCGTTTGTGTTCCTCGTTGTTACTATGATAAGGATATTAATGGTAATTATAGCTGCCATTCCTGAAGCATTTGTACTATGCCAGACACTGTGGTGGGTACTTAGGGAAGTTATTCAGTGGTTCTTTTTGTTACATGGGATTCATGTTGTTATATTGACTTTTGAGGGGATTCACCAGCTATTTGTAATAATTATCCTTAAGATTCTGAAGGGTATTTCTTGTTTGAGTGATTTATAGATGATGCTGTTCCTGTAGCTTCATCACTCATTTGCATTGATGTCTTTAGAGAAGGAGGTAGAGTTAATAATTGCTCCTTTTGTTGATGCTTAAAATATGCCAGGATTAATAATGAAAACCGATTTATTTGCATCCTTTTGTTTAATCCTCACATCATCCTCACTAGGGCAGGTACTGATACAATCCTCACTAGGCAGACGGGAACCTGGGGAGAAAGTCAGGTGTGGCATAGCCAGGATTTGATTTGACCCCATGTCTACTTAGGTTCTCTAGCTTGTACTCTATAAAGCAACACTCTTACTAGTTCTCACAGAAACTGTACTTGACCTTGAACACGCCCATGGGTACGTGTCAAGAGTCCTAAGTTAGTAATGTTAAATTCCTTGCCAGTAGTTTGTGTATGGAGTGATTTTATTGAATGTTCTTTTTGTCTTTTATTAGAGTAACCAGAGAGCACAGGGAAATGCTAGTGAAACTGGCCAAACAGAGCACTAACAAGGCCAAAGATTCCTTAAGGAAGATTCGTACCAACGCAATGAATAAGCTGAAGAAATCCAAGGACAAAGTCTCAGAGGACACCATTAGGCTCATAGAGAAACAGGTACTACTCTTGCCAACAGAAGGAGTTTTGGGTATATGTGTCTGACCCAGTAACTAGTTTGTACATGCCTCAAGTGAAGAAAATTAAAACAGAATGTTCCCGTTTCTTTCATCTACATGATCAACATTGATTGAGCCCTTGCTCTAGACCTAGCACCGTGTTGGACCCTGGAAATACGGAGGAGGGAAGGATACTCCTGAATTTTTACTGTGTGCCAGACTGCTGATCACTTCCATAGTTTCATTTACCCGTTAGTACAAAGCTGTGAAGTAGGTAGTGAGGAAAGTAACTTGCTCAAAGTAACACCGTTGATAAATGGTAGTATTGGGCCCCAAGACTGGCAGACTGATTTCAGCACCTATACTCTTTGCTCTCCAGTCTGTCATGGGTTTCTGGGTACTGAGAAATGAGCACTTAATGTTCTCAGTGTGCCACATAGTGGCACTTGAACAAATCTTAAAGGAAAAGCTGGAGAAGAGAAAAGATGGGACCAAGTAGAAGAGTCTGTGCAAATGCATGCTGATGTAAAAGAGCGGTACTCAGTTTGCTCATTGTGGCTTGAACCTAGAATGAGATTAGGTATTGGATGGAGAAGACAAAATGACCCTGCCATAGAAGGTCTTTAATACCAGGTTGAGGAGTTCAAACGTTAGCATGTCCAGAGGTTCCCACATGAATTGTGCATCTGTATCATTCACCCACAGTAATGCTACATAGCAAACCACCTCAAAACTCACCAGTAAGCATTGCTTCTCATTTTTGTGAGTCAGCTGGGATTTAGCGATTCTAGGCTGGCTAACTGGGCTTGGCTTCAGATCTTGAATTGAGTTCAAGTCCTCTGTACATATCTCTCAAAATTCCACCAGGGTCAGCACACTATCCAGGGAATCTTTTCATGGTAATAGTAGATGCCAAGGAGCAAACCCAACTACTCTAGCATATTTTTAAGTGTCTCCTCTTATCTGTTTCACATCCCATTGGCCAAATCAAGTCTTATTAGTCCAGACCAGTATTGCCAGGACAGGGAAATATATGTTCACTGGAGCCTGGGGAAGGAATGAATATGTATTGAGCAATAAGTAATCTGCCGTAGCATTATGATCACCTGAGGAGCTTATGAAAATACAGATACTTGGGGCCCTGTTCTCAAAAACCAATTCCCTTGTGATTCTGAAATAGTAACTCCCTTGAAAGGTTTTTTTCAGTGGAGGGAGAGAGAAGACCTGCGTTTCTGAAGATGACTGTGGTGGCCAGTATAGGGGGCAGGACCAGAGACAGGGAGCTTAGAAAAGCTATTGTAGAAATCTATCCAGGAAAGGATGATCTGAACCCAGTGATACAGGAGAATGGACTTACAGTGCAGATAGATACTGCATTTGGATTCCTAGTGTAGTGCTGTGGGCTAAAGCACTGGACTGCAAGGTGAGTTTGAACCACAAGTTGGCGGTTCAAACTCACAAACCACTCCTTGGAAACCCTATACAGGGTCACTGGGAGTTGGGACTGACTCGACAGCACTTAACAACAACAAACAACATACTGCATTTACCAATATATATGTGATGTGTGCTGTCAGTCCATTTTCAACTTGAAACAGCTCTATTTAACAGAATAGAACTGCCCCATTGGATTTTCTAGGTTGTAATCTTTATAAAGGAGTCCTGGTGTGGTGCTGTGGCCTAATGCTTCAGACTGCAAAGTTGTTTGAGCTGCAACGTCGGTGGTTCAAGTTCACCAACTGCTCCTTGGAAACCCTATACAGGGTCGCTATGGGTCAGAATCGACTCGACAGCACTTAACAACAACAACAACAATCTTTATAAAAGTAGATTGTCATTGGGTGGGCTTGAACAACCAACCTTTCAGTTAGCAGCTGAGTCATCAGGGCTCCTACTTAGGAGATAAAATTTGTAGTGTTTAGCATAATGTAAGACTTTCCCAAGGAGTCCTGATGTGGCACTGTGGGTTAATGCACTGGACTGCAAAGTAGGTGTGAACCTCAAGGTGAGCGGTTCAAGCTCCTCGGAAACCCTATACAGGGTCACTATGGGTCAGAACCAATTCAACGGCACTTAAACAACAACAACATAGGGTTTCCGAGGAACAACTGGTGAGTTTGAACCACTGACCTTGTGGTTCAGAATGACCTTATGGTCCAGTGCATTAACCCACAGCGCCACACCCCAGGACTCCTCGTGAGCCCTGCTCCTGCACTTTCTGATTCAGTAGATCTGCCCAGGAATGTGTGTTTTTAACAACTCTCCAGATGACTCTGTTCAGGCAGACATGGAAGGTAATGACACAGCAGTTTCCCAGTTTACACCAGTTAGAAATCTGTTGGTTGTATTTGATTCTTAGTGTACCCTGACCTTGGGAAAGTTACTTGACACCTTAGAATCTCTTTCTTCTGTCAAAAGGAGTTGGTGATTTCTACCTTGGAGTGTTGCCCTGGTGATGCTGGAAAGTATTATTAGCATTTTTTTCTTGTCTTCTTTCTGTTCTCCTCTTTCCCTGCAGTATAGAAAAGAGGAGACTAGGCTAGCCTTTTCTGAGCACTAACTAGTTCGGTCTCTTCAGAGTCTGGGCCCTGGCCCCACCTGAGCCAGCTATTTGTTTGCCTTTCAGGGTTTGCATTTCACATTTTGCTTTTTTACCCTGCTTCTGGGTAGTAAGCCTATTGGTAAACTTCAGGCCCCCTTCACTTAGCAAGTTAGGATGTCTGCCTCTGGAGCCAGAGCTCACCTGTCCTTGAAAAAGGAAGAATGAGAAGCTAAGCTAGGGACCGCAGCGTAACCTGTACTTTTGAAAAACCTTTTAAAAAGAGCTAGCTGGATGCAATGAGTCTCAATGACTGGTAAGACTGAGGAATTCGCACTGACCACCTAAGACAGGCAGCGTCCCTTAAACAATCAATAAATAAGGAGGACTCAGATGCAGACAGTACAGACCCGGTCAGGAGGCCAAGCCCCTGTGGGCCCAAGCGTTGTTGACCGTCCAAACCATAGGCTCTGAGGATCAGACTCTAGCCACCTAGTAGACATAGCAAACTGTCCCTCATCTGATTATTCAGTAATGCTTGTTAGTAATCTCATACATGAACCCTGGATATCCACAGACAAATGTAAAAACCTTCCCTAAAAGCTGAGACTGTAAATTCCAAAAAGCCAAGTCCGCCCCCATCCAAAAAAAAAAAAAAGCTAAAGAGGATAGAGAGAAACACTGTAAACTGATGATATATGGAGGGGATAATAATCAATGTAATGAAACAAGCTATATGAATGGTTGAATGTGAAGCTGATGATGTGCCCTGTAAACTTTCACTCAATGCAAAATAAAAACATTTAATTAAAAAAAAAAAAAAGAGCTAGCTGGAAGCCTTCACTGCTTAGCACTGGCTTTTTACCTTCCTCTTCAGAGGAGATATGTGTTCCCCGGTGCTTCTTACTGTTGACTCACTGTTTTTCCAAATGAAGATAGCTTTACTATTTTTATCTAATATGAGAGCCTGTACTTGTCTACTATCGTTTTTTTAAATGAAGACGATAATAACAACTTAAAATCTCACCACCTCAAGATGACCACTGTTGACATTTTAGTATACCGCCTTCTAGTTCTTTCTCTAAACTTACATGTAATAGTACAAAAGAAAATGATACTGTATATATTACATGATATTTCATGGCTGGTGTTCCAGTGCAATGATCTGTATTATTTGCAATATTACTATTTAAATGTTAGTTATTACTATTCCTGTTAATAACTTCATTTATGGTCATCCATTTAAAAATCTGGGTAAGAAATTTTTCAAGTGACAGTTTAGTATACACTTGATTTTGTCTTTTTTCTTTTTTTTCCAACAGAAAATGTCTATCTGGTTTTTGTTTTTATTTTAAGTGAGGTACAGTGGCTGATTGTTGCTTCATCAAAAGGTTTAAAAAATTTATTTGCTTACTTTGTTCCTGATTATTAAAGGAATGTACGCTCATTGTAGGAAACGTAGAAAGTACAGAAAAGTACGTTTTTTAAAAACGGGAAAAATTCACCACATAATCCCACATCCCAGAAACAACTGCTGTTAACATTTTGGGATATTTCTTCTTCTTTTGTTATTTTAAAATTATCTAGTTGTTAGCATGGTTGAAAACTTATTATATATATACAGTTTTGTGTTCAGCTCTTCATTTTCTGTTTATCATTAAAACCACTAGCATTTTCTTGAGCCTGTAAAAGCTCTTTGAAACCAACCATTCCTAATGGCTACAAAATAGTCCCGTCTGGTGATTATACTGTAATTTGCTTTCAAAAGCCCTCTTATTAGACATTTGGTTTTAAAAATCTTTTTTGTTATTATAAACAAGGTTGCAGTGAATATAAATCTTTGCTGAGGTGATCTCCTCTGGTTAGTGTTCCAAGTGTGGCATTATGTCTCACAGGGACTGCATATTCTTTAAGTACTGGAGGTGTGCTTCCTTAATCTCTTGCAGAGTTTCTAGGTATGTGCATATGTACTTTAAAAAAACTTTTGCCTTTCTTAACTAACACTTGTGCCTAGAATTTTAATGTGAGCTTAAAAAAATGTTGCTTACCTTGGAAGTATTGCTTTTCCTTGTACATTCCACAGAAAGGCTAAACTTATTTCTGTAAATCCATTACACCTTTTCAGAAGATAATATGCCGGTATATATCAAAAGCCATATGAGAGGGTTCAATAAGTTCATGGAAAATTTTCATTATCTTTAAATTCAATTTTTTCCAGGAACTTTTTGAAGCTTCCTCATATCCTTCTGATTCAATGACTTAGGGGTTGTTGTTGTTGTTTTTTTTTAAATCTTCAAGAATCTTTTCTATAGGGACATTTCTCAATGTTTTATTCATAGTAGAAAACTGGAAACTAAATTTCTAACAGTGGGAAAGCAGATTGTTTTACATCTATTCAGTGGGATTTACATATACAGACAGTTAATAAAACGTTTTACAGACATTATAAAGTTGTTTTTATT